GGCCACCGCCATGGGGCACATGGCCGCGCCCGGCCCCAGGCTGAGCTGGCCTTTCTCCTTTAACGAGCGCCGCCGGCTCAGCCTCGTGCGCCGTGCCGCCGCAAGCACGACCCTCCCCCCCCCCTCCCCAAAACGACAGCCGCCTCCCCCCACTCCTGTCGTCCTGCTCTCCCACCCCTACACTCTCTTCATGGGCGACCGAACTTGGGATAACCCCTCGCATCCCCTGACGCCCATCTATCCTGCACGTCCCCCCGAAACCCCCAGGAAGCTGTTTCTCGTGCAGGAATTCTGCAACGGCGGGTCTCTGCGGCAGGCCGTGGACGCCCGCACCATATTCTGGGACAGCGAGGCCAAGCAGCCGCGCATGGTGCGCGCGCAGGCGCGCGCGCGTGTATGCTTGCACCAACGACCTGCTCCTGTCATGCGGCCGCGGGCCCGGCTGGCGTGGGCGCGGGTGACACACCGCTCCAAGCCGCACAGCAGCGCACGCTGAAGGGCGGCGACGCATCCGATTGCCGGCCCGGACAAATGAGCTGAGTCGCGGACCCCTTGGTTTCGGTGGACCTTGAGCCTCGAGCAACGGAGCGAGCCGGCGTCTCTCGCGGCTTCCCGCTCAGCCGCAGACTGACCCCCCTTTGAACAGGGGGAAATCGACCAACCCTTCCCTCAAACAAAACCCAACCTGCCACCACAGCGCGACATCCTTTCGACGGCTATGGACATCGCGGCCGGCCTGGAGCACCTCCACTCGAAGCAGATCGTGCACGGCGACCTCACGCCCAGCAACGTGCTCCTGTCAACTGAGCTGCGGGGCCCAGACGGCGCGCACGTAGCGGTGGCTGGCATCACCTCGCACGCGCGGCCGCCCTCCGTCGCAAGCCCTGGCGCCGAGCAGGCCCCGGACGCGACGAGCGGCGGCAGCGGCAGCGGGCTGCTTGTCGGGAGCGGCGGCGGCGGCGGCGGCGGCGGGGCAGGCGGCGCCGGCGGCACGCAGCAGCTGGCGGCGTGGCGGACTGCGAAGATCGCGGACTTTGGTCTGAGTATCAAGATGCCAGAGGGTGCGAGCCACGTCAGCAACATGCGGCAGGGGACGCCCTTTTACGTTGCGCCAGAGGTGCTGCGGCGTGGAAGCATAACAAAGGTGGGGCGCTGGTGCTGCGTTGTCTGCGTCTGTGTGTGTTTGCTTGCGAATTGCATGTGTGTGCATGCACGTGCGTGTGTATGTGAGTGTGAGAGAGTGTGTGTGAGTGTGTTGTAATTGTCTCATGTGCATGGGATCATGTGTGAGTAAGCAGAGATATAGGGAGACACACAGAGAGGGAAACAGACAGAGACATTTTCTGTGCGCACCTTCATGTCGACTCTCTCTCTCTCTCTCTCTCTCTCTCACACACACACAGACACACACACACACACACACACACACACACACACCACACACGCACGCACCCAGGCCTCCGACGTGTACTCCTTTGGAGTGATCTGCTGGGAGCTCTACCACAACAAAAAGGTGCGCGCCCGCCACGCCGCGGCCCGGGCTCACGGGAATGGGGCTGCCTCAAACCCCTGGCCAGCAAGCCGTCAAGACCTGCCATGGCCGCCCCGCTGCTCAACAGACCCCTGGGGTGCCGATGCGGCCGGCAATGGCCGCCGTCGACGCCCCGAAACGCGGCTCCCCTCACCCCGCCTCGCACCCCCGCTCGTGCCCCACGCGCCGCGCAGCCGTACAAGCGCTCAGAGCGCCGCGGCCACGTGCTGCGCCGCGGCTTCCCTTTTTTCAGCACCAAGTGCCCGCTGCAGTTTGCGCTGCTGGCGACGGCCTGCATGTCAAAGGAGCCCGTGGGCCGCCCTACATTTGCTCGCATCAGGCAAGAGCTGCGGCAAATTGCCGACGCGCTCGCGGCCGCGCCGCCCGCCGGCGCGGCGCGCCCCTCGGCGGGCGGGCGCGGGCG